GAAAGAAAACTTTAAAATATGATTTTTTTTTAAAACTTTATTACCCAGAAATTATTTTACCGATATCGTTCAAATGTTGTAATTTGTCATTTAAAATTATTTAATTAAAAAATTATAGTTAGAAATTTAAAAAATTTTTGACTATCATAAAATTAAAATAATAAATTATATTTTGCTGGGAATCGCAATATATTATATTTTGCTGGGCAAACAAATTTCACAAATTTTGCATTTTATTCTCTTAAATTATTCTAGAGAAATTATGAAATACGCAGAAATAAAAGGAGCTCAAATAATCTCCTGCCTAAACTACCGGCTGCTCTCCGGACAAAAGTAATGAGGTCGTGTTTTCCAAATTGCGGTAAACCCTTTAGAGGAGTGATTTCCTAAAATTTCCTCTATAAGGTAAACCCACCTCCAACCCCTCTTTTGAGAACCCGAATCAGTAAAAAATAATATGCTTATTCAGCGAAAATATGTTTTGCGTCTGAAGTCTGCTCTAATTAATTAGCCAATTTAAGTTTAAATCCGCGGACCATTATAGTTGTCTCTTAGTAAGTGTAAATCCCATCAGAAGATCAATAGTTATTAAGGTACTCTGTTTTTGATTTTATTATTCTTTTTCAAACGACGATCATTTTCAAAGGTTGTCTGTGGACAAATTATACTTCAATCTTTTTTTTCAAACCTGATTCTTTTTTTTTCTTCTTTTTCTTTCAATATTATGGTAAATTGCTTTATAATAGTTTGAGAAAAAAAGCGTATATTTGAAAAAAAAGTTTTGGAATTTAGGATAGCTGGTAGTATATTTTGCTGTAATAATTTTTTTTTTCGAGGGTATATACCAAAAATCCATAACTACTAATACGAAATTTTAATTTTATATTGTTTTACAAATTTTTACTTACATCTAAAGGAAAAAATAAATAAAAATTATAGAACATGAAACAAAGGTCTAAAATAAACTTTTCATTGCTAAAATGAAAAACTACCATTTTACGTAGGGCTTATATACAAAAAAAAAAAAAAAAATGAAATAAAATTCAACCTTACTTTTTAAAGAATTTGATAATCCACATCATGAAATTTTAATAATCACAATGAATTAAATTAAATTAAACTTTTGAGATGTCGAACGGACAAGATCGAGAAAAATAGGGTTTATGGGAAACGCAAAACATTTCTGAAGATTTGTATGTGCTTTTTTTGAAGCAGCTCTGTATTGGTCGCTGCAGCTTAAATTAAGTACAAATTAAAAGGAAACACGTTATTTTGTAAGCTAAAAGCTTTCATAAAGTGTTTAAAAAATGTGTGACATTTTAGGGTGGCGTTGCTTTTAAGAAGATTAAGCAATGCCTAAATAACGTATTCCGAGGAAATATTTGAAAATTGAATGTTCAATGCAAAAGTAAAGTTTTAATTTTCCCTTCATTATATTGTTTGAATAAGTTTAACTACTGTTCTTTAAATGATAGAATTATTTAAAATTTTATTTTCTAAATGAGTTTTCTGTGTATAAAGTTAATAAAGAAAACCTTATATGGGTCATTCTCACAAAAACAGTCATTTTCATGTCCCCAGTATATTTTATGTTTGCTTTACAACTTACGAAAAAACAAATTTCAGGGAAAAGTGTCTTTCAGAATGCAGACTAACAAAAGAATAAAAATAAAATTATCGATTTTTATATTTTATTTATTTTAGGTAATTAAAATATACCAATATGTCATTCCCTCACTTGTCCCCACTGCTGATTTAAAAAAAGAAAAAAATTGTTTCTGAAATAAAAAATAAAAAATTTACAAATTCGTGTTTTTTATTTCAGAATATTGAAATATAGAATTCAGAAAATCAATTTTAAATTTAATTTCTGATAAAAATATTAACACAGCACTATTTTAAACTTTGTCCCCAGTGTTTCGCGTCATTCCCTCACAACAATGTTCTTATCACCTGCAATCTTCTTAGAATAAAAATATTTTAATAAAAACTTCAGAAGTTAACAACTGGCATCATAGAACAAAATTGCAGTATGTTTCCATCTTCAACTTAAAGAAGCTTTGCTTTGGAATAAATTTGAATGAATCAAACCAGGTAAAATTTTTTACATTTGTCATTCCCTCATGTCATTTTTTAGAGAAAAATACAACTTCATCGAGAAAGTGGATAATGTTTCTTGTATGAATATAATTGTATGTGATTGACTTCAGAAATTAAATAGGCCTAACTGTTATTTTTAAATTTTATTAAATTTGTCATTCCCTCACTAGTGTATAAAGTGAGGAAATGATGCTGAAGTGAGGGAATGATTCAAGATGAGTATATTATTAAATATTTTTTTGGTTCAATCGTGCCAGCCAATTTTATTTCCCAAACCTGTAAAAACTGTTAAATATATAAAACTAAATTATAAAAAATATTAGATATATATAGATTAGATAGATAGATATTAGACATATTAGATTATCATTTTCAAACTTTAGGTAGATGTAACTTAGATAAAAACATGTATTAAAATAAAATATCATTCCCTCACTATTAGTGTCATTCCCTCACTTTTTAAATAGTGAAATTAATTAATTTATTTATGAATTAATTTAAAAAATTAATTAATAAATTAATAAATTAATTAATAAATTAATAAATTAATTTATTAAATTAATTAACTTATTTATTAAATTAATTAATTAATTATTAATTATTATAAATTAATTAATTATAAATTAATTATTTAAAAAATTAATTAATTTAAATATTAAGTATAATTTATAGGATATATACTTTCTTTATAATGTCATTACATATTTCTATTAATATAAAAAGTTTCAGAGCTTTTTATTCACTTTACTTTTTTGGGATTTTATGAACTGAAAAATGACAGTTTTCGTGAGAATGATCCATATATATATATATATATATATAAATGCATTGTTAATTATGACGCTTTCTGTACATCACTCGCGACGGATACCTATAAGCATTTAACCATATATGGTAACATTACTAATGTAAGCAAAAAATATTGATTTTGAAAAGTAATAAGTATGAGGTGTGGTTTCGCATTTATTTACTTTATTTCATTTTTATAACTGGTGTTAAAAAGCGTTGAACTGTTTGCGACTATCAATGCTCAACTCCGAAACCTTGCAATTTTGAATCCAACTCAGAAGACAAGGTATCTCCTGGATCAAGCTTTGGAGCAAACTAGCCTTCGTGAAGGATTTTTGATTAAGTTGAACCGCATTTGCGCTACGTAGAGAGGTAAACCCCGCAAATACGCTACTTCAGTTGATTAAATTATGAAGCGATGTATCAATTTCTGAATGACCATGTCACACCAGCTCCCTGCCATATTCTTAAGAAGGAATTGCACCTTAACTTTTACTTCTTCGCCCACTAAACCTCCTGTTCTCCAAAAGTTTCAATTAAACATCAATCATCACCTATCCACCATATAGTTCGACTTTGAACCCAGTGAATACCACTTAGGTGAATCTATAGCGGAAAGTGATTTAACTTCAACCGTAAGATAAAATATGAAATGCCCTGAAAGAATATGGAAGGAAGCTTGTATGACATGGGCTTTTCACCAAAGATGTGTTTGCACTTGGATAGCACTAAAGTTCACTGATAAGGAATAAAAAAAAATTTCACAATAATTTTTTGATGTTATCCAGTCATTTAAATAATTTTTTTCAATATATTTTTTTCATTCATTAAATTAACAAAAACTAATTTAATGAACTTAATCAAGCATGTCTGTTGTGGAAATTCTCTCGTTACAAATCATATTATTTTCAGTCTCATTCAATGATCAAAAACAAACAATTTCACTGATGTAATGAACAATTCAAGTCTTCTTTGATATAACTATAATATTATGTTAGTATGAATTACAATTTGCCTCATTCTATCTTAAACTTTTTTGCCTGGCAGTATATTGAGAAAAATACTTTTTTTTTTCAAACTTCTGACCAGCCATTAGGCAAAAACGAAAGCAAAATATTCATATGCCTGTGACTGAAATTATTTTAAACTGACACTTTAATTACAGCCAGCTGAATCAAATTTATTTCACTCCTGTCTTAAATCTTGAGTCATCTCTATCACTACGCTTACAGCCCTATGCCGTGTTTATAAAATTTAACCAAAAACCACCTATTCGCCGAGTCGCAGTTTTAAAGAATATTATGTAGGTTGAACGACAAAATCATTAAAACAAGCTAGGAAAAATATGAGTGTAACACATGCCTAAGAAATAATGCATGTGGGAATAATTGCGTATAAAGAGTCATGCAGCTGAAACTTATAGGAAAGGAAAGATATTTTCTTACTGCCACACTGCTGCCATCAAAATTATAGATTTATATAGTATTTACATGTAGTAAAATGTGTTATTTAATAAATATTGGATTAAAATAATTTTTTGGGAGAAGATTTTCAGAATTTTCTAAGACTCTTCTCTCAAAAAATTTAGAAACTGAACTTCATTAATTCAGAAGTGAATGCAGTACTTTTATTTTAAATTAGTCGGAACTTTCTACAATCTCGGAGGCTTTCCTACCAAGAGGTGTTTTTAAAGACATAAAATAGTAGTTATATGACTTAAAAATTACAATTTTTTAGTATCCGAAATCACACTAACATCTTGACCCAACTATATTTTAAATTTATTATAATATTAAATTAATAAAACCTTATTTTATATTTTATATTATATGCAATTAGGGAAATCCAATTTTCATAAGAAACCAAAGATTTGCATAATGCTTCTTGCAGGTCACGCGATCTTAGCAGTTTTAAAAACTAAATAAATAATTTCAAATGTTAACATTTTTTTAAACTTTAAACTCAATTTCATTTAATTATTTCGAAAATGATAATCATGAAAAACGTTTGATAATATAAGTATTTTTAAAGTTTAAATATTTTTAATTATTTTATATTCATCAACATGTATAACTATATTTTGTTTCGAAAGCTATAAATTCAACACTTACCTTTGTTTTTTTCATACATTCAAAAAGAATTTGAGTATTTCCTTTCGTGGTAAAATTATATGTTGGTGGCATGAAGAGTTGTAATGTTAGATTATAATGAAGAGGGATTAAGTGATCCGGAAGCATTCCTGATTCCATATTATACGTTTCCTCGTCTGATTCTTCACCAGCTATTTGTCTTTCTGCAACTCTATATGAAGAAACACTAGTCCGAGTATCTTCAATAAAATAGCTGCCACACCAAGCAAGAAACATAATCGTTCCAATCACTAGTACCGTTATTTGAATAGCTCGTAAAACTTTGAAAAATGTATTTCTAGATTCCACTGCCCTATCTCCGTATTTGGACGATCTTAAAGTATCAAATGTATCAGTATACCCTCGAATCATTTTAAAAAGTAATTATTAAACCCGTAAGTTTCAAAGTATTTCTTCAGAATTCAAGAATTAATGTTTTAATATGAAATATCACTGCAATTTTTTAGTCCGGTGAAAAACCGAATAAAAAGACTTAATTCCTAAATTCACAAAAGCGTTGAAGTACCACAATATTAAAGTACAAAAGCTATTTGGAACCAAAGAAAAGAAATAAGCCAACGAAAAAATACTTAAATGAGGATAAAATAAGAATTTGTAAATCCTAAGATGCAAATTTTTTAACATATATTTCTCACACTGTTAACTAATGTTCTCCTACGTCATAATTAGAGATGAAATAGAATCAAACTTAAAGCGTATCATTGCGAGCAGCTTTAAAATTCCAAGCGGCAACTAGAGCATTTATTCTAAAGAAAGTTCAAACTGCTACCAGACTAAGTATATCTAGACCCTTGAACTTCTGTATAATAAGTTATGACAACTTAGACATTAAAAATCGAAAGTCAGAAGTCAAGCACCCGGCTACGACCAAGACCAGTCAAGCCGGTTAACTTAAGTGTAATAGCCTATGTTGCTTTGTTTTGATCATCATTTATCTCTAATGCATCATCAAAATTACTTGCCTTCGAGCAGTTTAATTCTTATTCTTCTCTGAAAGCGAAAGTGTCACATCTATTAATGAAGGGCATGACATTCGTAGACTAAGATTGACATTTCAAAGCAAAAATATGGCATTCCCAATCTGCTTTTGTTTGATATTTAGATGAACCATCTTTATAAGCAGATCCTTAACATGATTGAATTAATTGCAGTAAAATATTTTATTCATTTTTGTTCAATGTTTTAATCAAAATAAATGCATTTTGCATTTCTTAATTCGATTCTATAAAAATATTAGCTAAACCGTTTAATTATACGTAACTCTACAGCGTGCGACTGTTAATTTCCGAGACATCTAATAACACTAGAAAATATAATGTGAATTACATACTCGTTTAATATGTTTTAAAGTAATGTAAGTATCAGAAATAACTTTATAACGTTAGATTGTTTTCAATGACTTCGACATCCTTAAACCTTGTTTCTTTAGCAATAGTTTCGGCGATAATAGGGCTAAATCATTTACCACATTCTTTGAACAAATCTCTTGTAGACATTTCGTTTTAAAAACTGAAAAATTAACTGTTGGACATCGATAAGAAAGTCAGAATTGAAGAGTTTTAAAGTTGATCGAAATCTTTTACAGCCGAGTACAAAAGTTCATTAAATCAGATGGAGGTTACTTCTAAACATTAAATAGATATATAATTCCCATAATACTTAATGAATATGTAATTCACATAAAGAAATTCAGGAAATTAGTAACCGCATCTTGCATATAAAGTTCAAAAAATAAAATGCAAAATCAAAAGGTGTGGAACACTACAAGAATCGCTAGCATTTCACGGATATTAAATTTTTTATATTTATATATGCCCGCAATTGTTTTCAGTCGAACTTTTGGATGCAAAACGAAGATTTAAATGATGCTCAAAACAATAATTCGTTGTCGTGACAAAAAAAAATTACTTTTTTATAGCCTTTTATTTTATTAGTTTTCGAATCATATTTAAGCAATTTGATACTTTCTTATTTCCATTATAACGTTTCGACAAAATTTAAAAAACAGTTCTCTGCATTAAAATTCTTTTCTTTAAATATATTATCACTTATAACAAGTGGGAACATATAAATGACGCTAATTCTAAACCTTACAAATATTTTTTAGATATTTAACATTAAATTATACGGCTTTAAGAAAATTGGAAAGAAAGTCCCACTGTCAGCACGTGCTAAAAATATTAAAATAAAGAGAAAATGGTAACTCCTCGAAAATTATCCTATCATAAACTTTAAAACAAAATACGATTATAAAATTGTTTCAACCCTTAAACGAGGATGAGACAACGGTTTCCCTATTTTATAATTATAATATTATCCCTATTATATTTAGTTTTTCTGACGCTCTAATTACAAGCAAAAATGTATTTGGTATTTATTAATAACAAAAAACATTCTATTAGTTACTAAAAAATCTTTCAGATTATCGAAATTATATTTGTACTAAAATATAAAATCCAAAAAAATAGTTTGAAAGAAATTTTCATTCAAATTCAAAAATTTATCAATATTTAGTTTATTTTATTAAAGAAATTTCAATGATGAATAACTGTTTCTCTTAGATCGAAATAACAAATTCGAATAATTATTGTTTCGAAGTGAGCCGTGTTTGGAAGATTTTACAGTAACACAGAAAAAGACACCGGTGTCCGATGCTGTATTCCATGACCAAAAATTATTAAAAGCTAAATATTACATTTTTCACTTATTTTAATCTAAATTAATTCAAAATAATGAAAATTTTTAATAAAAATTCAGCATCTAAGGGTTAATTTAGGATAGAGTTATTTATTTTGAAGATGTTTACTTTATAAGTCAAGAAGAGGGGAAATTAGTAAGCTCGGAAATTAATTCACTCGAATGTGCCGTCGAAGTCGACCACTTAATTAGAAACACATTGTTAGAAACTTTAAGAATAACACATTGTTGGAAACTGTCAGAATAACACATTGTCAGAAACTTTAGTGTGTTGAACAATACGTTTAAATTTACTGCAACCTTAAAATAGTGCTTTGATAAAACCATTTTACCTTACAGAGTATATATGCTTATGTTTGTTGTATTTAAAACTAGATATTTCTTAACAGTATATGTGTAATGTGACTTAATCTGACTGTTTCCTTCGCTAATGATATGTTCACGAATTCTCAATTGTATAGTAAATGACTCCGCAATATAAATGGTTGAAGAAGTATATCTAAAAAACGATGGGTGATAAAGATAAATGGTTAGCATATTTTGAAACAGCACATTTTATTTGTTTTGCAAAATGTACTGGATGCCAAGGTTTTCACAACTTTTTAAAATTTTATCAGGGATATATTTATCAGTGATATCAATGTGTTAGTTGTAGCGTAGAATACAATACCACAACTAAAATCGATGACTGGATGAGATAAGTGAAATGAATGAATGCTGGCTCCATCAACATGAAAAACTTTTGCCAAAAATGAAGAAAAGTTTGTTCGAAAACGATTGATTAAATCTGTATATTTGATTTTGTTTATTAGATTCTTTTTTTTTTAAACTTTTTTTCCAAGATAAAATTCATTCCTTACAACTTACTGTAATCTTTTCATCGTTAACTTTATGAAATGTGTTATTTTCTATATTTTAATTTATCTTTTCCTTCATGCCGGGATAGCCTAGTTGGCAGGGCGCTGGACTCACTTTTGTGAGAACGGAAGTTCGAATCTAGCCGGCTGAAGAATTCTCGTGTAGTAAATGGTGACTGGTGCTCGTTAAATATATCAGGGAGAGCCGCGATGGCTCAGGTTATAGAGAGTTCGCCTTCCACTGAGGTGAACCGGAGTTCGATCCCGTCGATGGCTGGTCGATACGAATTCCGCATCCGGTTTGCACTGACCACAGTGCTGACGTGAAATATACTCAGTGGTAGGCGGATCATAGGTTAGAGTCCCCTTGCCGTCAGGCTAACCGTGGGAGGTTCTCATGGTCTTCCTCTCCATGTAACGCAAATGCGGGTTAGCTCCATCAAAAAGTCCTCCACGAAAGGAAAATTTCGCCCAATACTCGATCCAGGAGTTCCCTTGTCGTCTGGATTGGGTTCAAAATTACAAGGCTACGGAGTTGAACATTAGTAGTCGTAAACCCATAAAATTGGGTCGGCTGTTCAACGACGGTTATAATATACACTGAGTGGCCAAATTATTATGACCACCTCAGAGTTTTATGCAAATGAGTTATTGCGTCACAGCGCTGCCGCCAGAGGGCAAGATAACTCTAACACGGGAATGCTGGACAAGTGAGTCATCAGTTATACTGTGTTGCTTGCTCAGATATGGGAAAGAAAAGTGATTTAACTGAATTTCAACGTGGAATGATTGTGGGTGCGAGATGTGTCGGTACGAGTATCAGCAAAACGGCTGCACTTGTGGAGTGTTCTAGAGCAGCATTTGTTAATGTGTACAAAGTGCAAGTACAAAGCATGTGTAATGTGTACATGTGTAATTTGTAATGTGTTTGTTAATGTGACAATAAAGCAAAAAACCGGGTCTCAAAGTCAGACTTGTTGTCGTCACAGGGTACTGAATGCTCGATCAGTGAGAAGGCTGGCCAGGGTTGTGCAGCGCAACAGGATAGCAACAGTGTGACAAATTGCAAGTGATCTTAATCAAGGAGCAACTGTGAACGTCTCTGAACTGACTGTTCGACGCACATTGCGCCGTACTGNTATATATATATATCGGGGACACAAATTCTTCCATGTTCACATAACAAATCAATAACTCTGGGGGTACTGAATTGGATATTGTTCGTTCTCTGGTTCAGGGTAAAAATTACGATCTGTGGATAAATGAATGGATGTCTGAATGGGTCGACCCTATAAACGGGTCTGACGTATGGGTGCGGCAGAAGTGAAATTCTTGGTCATAGATGGAGCCACTGGAAAACAAGAACAATCACACACCCTCTGTCTTAATGGCCAACGACAACATCAGCAACTTTTCCTTTATTGTATTAGACTGTCATCTCACCTCGACATTAAAGAGAAATGGCCACTTGTTAGTTTAATTTTTTTTTCACATTTTATTATCAATATTCCATTATTTTTTGCTTAAAATAAGTTGAGTGCATGCATGAGTTCAAAATATACAAAAACATTCATCTCTATTCATAGTACATTAATTTCGAATTGAAAAAACTGTGGCAATCTAACCTAGAATTACCCTACTTCTTTTAAAATTTCGCACTTGAAAAAAAATTGTTTAAAAAGATCTGTTTGTACAAAATATTAAAACTATGCAAAACCATTATTAAAAAAAGAACTGGATATTCATATGTCACACGCACACTTGTATTTATATACACATCTTATTATGAGAAGATTATTTAGTTAACATTCATCAACTAGAAAACTATGACAAACGATATATTATATTAATTGGCAGATAGATTTAATAACAATTTCATCTTAGCTATAAAAAAAATTGGTTTGGGAACTTATGAATCAAAAAACAGCTTATTAATTATTTATTTACTAATGTCAATAATTTAATAAATCAATTATAAGAACAAAAACGTTCTAATAAGATAAATTAAGTTTAAGATCAGTTGTAATTTAAATAATTATGGCAATTATTCATTTGAGTAACATTTTTGCTCACATAATTATAAATAGTTGTCTGTATAATTTTCATAGGATCAGAAACCTCTTTTCCTCTTTTCACTAACATCTAACAAAGTTTAAATAACTGGAGTCGGAGTTGAGCAAATTTTCTGATTCCGACTCCAACAAAATTTTCGTCCACTCCGACTCCACAGACCTGATTTTATTCAGGAACTAGTTCACTTGTTCGGTGCTTAATGGAATCGCGACAGAGGAAACTGTTAAGCCGCATGACCATAAACCACTGAGAAGTCCTCTTACGTAAACTAAAAAAAAGAATTAGAGTTTTATAATTAAAGAATGTTGTTTTTACTAAAAGCTTCAAAAATGCATAATTCTCATCGTTAAAGAGCACAAAGAGATTCCTTCCATTATATAAATTTATAGGCAGACGTATTTCTGAATTTTTTACTGTTTCTTTCTTTTGAATTTTTTACGTCAAGTTGTGCTACTGCTGAATAAAGACGATTTTTATTTATTTTTTGTGAATTACAACATAAATATTTCAATAAAAATTAGAGATAAATGTATAAAAAAGTGAAAAAGCCAGATTGTATCTTAAGGATAAAAGAAGCTTTTTTTTAATGATTGAAGTCAATTTTTTTGTGAATTTGGTATGTATTTGTTGAGTTTGAAAAGAATAATTAAAAATTAAGGAGATATTAATCAAAATTCAAATTTAGGTACACCTTATTAAAAATGTTTTTTGAGTGACCATTTTCTTAAAAAAATGTTAGAACAATATAATGTGAAATGCTTCGAAAATACTTGTTTACAAGAAACCATGAAAAACTTCAAAAATTCATGTTTAGTTTAAAAATAAATAAAAAATTATAAGATTTTACAGAAAAGTGACACAAGATTCAAACATTTGGATTTCAAAACATTTGAATTTTAAACAATAAGTTTTGATACCATTTCATGCAAGATTTATTCCAAACTTTATTTCCAAAAATGCAGAAAAAAAAATTAACTCCCTAATAACTTAATAAATTTTCAAGGTTTTTTATGAAATCTGACCTATGAAGTATCTTCTCCTAAGACTCTGTGTCCAATATATTAAACAACATTTAGTAGAATTTTACTACTCTTTATATATGTTTATAATTACAAAGCGATTATCTATTTCAAAATATATTCAGTTTTATTGAAAACTCTTAGTCGGAGTTTTCAACTGTAATGAAAAAAATATATAAGTTCAATTTGAATAAATTTATGGACAGTCATATGGCGTATAAATATCTTTATCATTTGAGTCTAATGGATTTTGCTTCCTGACCGAAATGTGAAGAAATACACTATAAAAATATCATACTATATGTAATAATTGAAAATATTAAACCCTTTTTATCTTGAAAAAAACTATTACATACATTTTTTGCCTCAAGTAGAATAAAAACCGTTATCAAACGCAAGAAATCACGATTTTTTTTTTTTTTACAAAATTGCCCCACGAAAAGACGCATAGAATAATCTTATTTCAAAATATTTATTATGAAATATATGTGCGTATATATATAGAATTAAATTCTTTTATACATAAATTAGCTAAACACTTAAAAAAAATAATTCTAGATTGACACCACTTTTATTTTCATGTTTTGAGGCTTACTATGCTTCCACAATTCGAACGCTTATTTCTAGATGGTACTTGATTGTGCTCCCTACGAACAGCTTCAATGAGGGGACAGAACTTTGAAAAACCTTTATTTTTTACTGAAATAGGTACATTATATCTGAACCGATTAATTTTTAATATATATATATAGGCTTTTTTTATCATCACAAAAAAAAAGACTTCATTATAAAAATAAAATTTTAAAAAAAAGACTTTTTCTTGCTGTAGTACCAACTGCGTACTTAGTTGAAGCAAGGTTTTTATTACTATTATTCGAACATATTTTATTTTGTTCGCATAACGTATTTTTGGGGTTTTTTTACTCAACATAATTTTAAATATCAGCTATTTCACTGTGCCTTCCAAAATAAGATTAACTCGATCAGAAGAATTGTGCCTATAGTTTCGGATCATCCCAACACCTCTCCAGATAATCTGATACCAAAATATGCTGGTAGTATATATTCTACCTATATGAAAAGGGCTTAATAGAATATAATGATAAGCTACATTTTCAAACTGTTCAGGAGACCATAGTTTAAATATACGTAGAGACAGCGGATCAAAATGACTTGACTTTAATACCCACACATAATTTCAGAGAAATCTGCAGAAATTTATGTATAGGCAGGAAAGTTTAATTCATTTTTATTTTATTTTTTTCATTTTGATGATATTTAAGTTGCAAATACAAAACCCTGCCTTCTCTGAAAAAACATACCTTTAATTCCAAGGATTTATATTTTTGTTGACACTCCAACATAAAGTGACTGTTCTCCTATCTAAACTATTAAGACCACATTTTCTGGATTGCTGCTAACTCTCAGATTTTGAGTCAAGAATCTATACGTGCCGAAAAAAATTTGTTTATTCATAGAAGGATTGGCTTTTTGCCCAGAAGAAACTTATTTCTTCCAGGACACTGAAAAAAAGTTTAAAACAAAACAAAAACTAATAACTTTCATTTTTTAATTTTATACTGTTTTAAAATCTATATAACTTAAAATAACTTTAAAATTTGATTTATGTTATGCTTGTGGTTCTTTAAAATACTAAAGCTTGTCTACCAAATCAAATTTCAAAAAACTAATTGATTTGAAAATGAAAATTCAGTAATTTGCGAATATAAATGTACAGTTAAAAATTGTTAGGTTAATCTTATAAATTATTTTATGATTAGATATGCAAAAAAACTGTCAAAAATAATTGATAAATACCTTTACCTTACAATGTAAGAATTGTTTTCAATATTCATAATTAACAGCATTTGGTTATGAAAATTTGCATGTAGTTTGTATTTATGAATATACTATGACTTTCAGTTTAATATAATATATACTTAATTTTTTTTACATAATTATAAAATATAAAGTTCCACAATACTCCTTTATGCATACCACTGAAAGAAACTAGCTTTAATTTTTATAGTTCATCACATTTTTCTTTCCAATCTTTGCTTTTTATTTTCATTTATTTAAAAATGATTTGTAAAATGATTGAAATTATACTATTATTTAAACTATACTGAAAATATTAACTGCTTCAAATTTTAATTAAATGTTTGACTTTTTTATTAAAGAGTTTCTACCACTTGAATTGTTGGAGATTGTTATTTCTTCCGGGGGTAGTTTATTTCCACTCTGGAAGAAACTTGCCATCCCTGATTCAGAGAAAGCATGCTTTAGTCTCTTTTTGTAACTTAAAATATAGTCTGCATTGAATAACATATTAAAGGTCAGGTCCTTGAACAATTATGTCCAAGTTCGTCAGAATCCAATCAGTAGATCAAACGTTACTCAGAGTGTTACCTTTTTTAGTGCACTCTAAATCTGCAACCGAGACTTTTTAACAATTAAGTCATAAAGGGCATTTTAAACTAGGGAAAAGTAAATAATGGTTAATAGTTTATAATTAAAAGTTTCCATTTGATTTTCAAAGAAATTTAGAAATTAAATTGTTTTACACTGACTTAATGACTTATTTGCTTCAAAATGCAGAAAAATATATCTTGGCATATGGACATATTCCATATTCTGGAAAATTAAGCATTTTACATTTGATGCCAAGAAGTTAGCAATCCTGAAACTTTATTATTTAATTAGACATAAGATATGATAAACACTCTTTATTCACTTTCAGAGATTCATTAATTTACATATAGAATATTCATATAAACATAAAAATCCTATATAAAAAATCTTAATACAACTTTAATAACTTTTAAGCATACATAGTGCCTTGAACATATTTGTAAAGAAAATAATTTAGTAAAAGGAGTACAAAGTGTTAACAAAACTATAATTATAATTCAGTTTTAGATGAGCAATAACCTGGAAGGAAAAAAAAATTGATATTAGAAATTTCAATAACCACCAAAACTGTTATTAAAAAAATAAATAATAGTGTTTATTAGAACAATTTGGCATTTTTTAAAATAAATCAATCAATCCTAGTTTTACCAAATTTCAGGGGTCTGTCTAGGTTTTTTTTTTTTTTTTTTTTTTTTTTTTTTTTTTAAGTTACCTATTTTATGAAAATTTTCACAAATTCAATTTCACAAATATTTTTAGTTTTCACAAATTATGTCTAATAATTTGAGAAAATTAAAAATTGGACTAAAAAATCAACACAAAAATATGGTAAAGGAGAAAATATTTTCAAAAATTGTCATTACAAAAAAAATCATTTATGACAGGTAAATATCTATATTTTTTCTCATATATTAAAAAACTATTTTGTTACTGTAAAATTCGGGGCTAAAAATTGATTCAAAATTAATCATTGATTCAAAATTAATTGATTAAAAATCGATATAAATCATTGTACATAGTTAACAGGGTGCGTAGCCAAATCTCTGAATCAAAAATAAGTACTTGTTAAAAACTTTTCAAGCACTTTACAAAAGTTTTCAAGCACTCAAAAAATTCATATTCAATCAATGATATTATTGAAAAACAAAAACTTTTTATAAGCAGTTTTAGCGTTAAAGAAAAACAAAAAGAAACGGGCGTAAATCGAAACAATCAGTACTTTCCCACATCACCGAGTGAATTCAACTTGACCCTGAACTCAGAACAAAAGTACCCTTACCCCTTACGTCAAAAAAAGTGTTTGAAGTAAAATAAAATAAAGTAGAACAAAATTAAAATAAATTAAAAAGAAAAACATTTCATAAGGATCTGATATTCTCTATCGGAATTGGAGCACTCAGGTTTCGGTTTCAAGTGTGCGCGCATGCGCAAGTCATAATGTGGGTACGACATGAACTCCGCGTGAATGATTACGTAGCAAACTCCCCATTTTTCGTTAAATGCATGGGATCCACCAGATATCACTGAAGGGGAAAAAAAATTATTCGGAAGAAAATGCACTTTTTAAAAACGCCAGCTGAAAAAAGCACCTTTAAAAGCTTTTAAAAACGAAATCCTCAAAAAAGCACCTTTAAGTACTTTTTACAAACGCTACGCACCCTGGTTAAATTTCAGTTTGAATTTAATAAAAACATTTATTTAACAGTGCTAGCACTAAAAGTTATTTTCATTATGAGTCTAAAATTATTATACATTTTTGACTGGGTCATAGAAAAAAGTTTCACAAAGAAAAAAAAAATTTTATAAAAAAATAAAGGAAAAAATAAAAGAATAAATTTAGAAGAATGTTTATGATAATAGTTTCATTTTAAAAAACTCTGCAACAAAACAGCTCGCTATAATATGGTGTAAGCAACGAATTAGGCTTACCTCACTATCTGACCAAGCACATGCTACTGATTCATAGAAGACAGCTATCAGAAAAGCTCTTTTTTTCCAGATTGCAACGAGAACAGGGTTTGCGTGGTATTAGCGACAATTAAACGGAGCAAGCATTCTTCGTATAAATTGGGTAGGAAGCAAATTCTTCTACTATGTCATAATAGTTATCCGCGGAAAGGTTCATTGCAAGTCAAAATGCATCATTAACCCGGGATTTATAGTTTTTTATGGGGATACAAAAACGAAATTTTAAGAGGCAGGGAGGTGAATCATAGAACTTGCGTTGTTAAAAATATTTTGTGAAACTGCCGTTTTTCTTTAAGTTGAATTTGTGAAGGTACCGTTAAATGGTAGTAAATTTGCCCTGGACAGACCCCTGAATTTATAAGGCTTGAGAACTACAACTTCCATGACATTCCGCATAAACGATTAAATATAACAATATAAGTATATTGAAAATATTTTAATGATTAATATTTCTTGTTATCGTTTTTTAACATAAATGTACACAAAAAATATTGCAAAAAATGAATAAAAATACACATACAGAACAAATCTGTATAGAAGTAAAATGTACAGAAAATAAAATTTCAAAAAGCACCCATTCCAATTTATGCTTTTGATTCTAGCAAACATACTGTATTTTCAACTATATATATATGCATATATATATAAATATAGTCAAACCATCAGGAAAAACAACCTTTATTTACGGTAACTTTTGGGAGGTTGGGAATTTTTTATAGACTTTCTGTGGCAGAAAACCTTTATGAGAAACCATTAAAGCCTCTTCCAGTAACCAGGCAAACATCTGCACCAAATGCAAAAAAGGTCAAATAAGGGAACACAAAAAATATTAAAACAAAAAATTTGTACTTCAGTGATTGAGATAAATTTTCAATTTTAACTGAATAATTATTTGGAACTAAGTTTTTTGTTTATTTCTTTGGTACTTTTGAAGTTTGGATACATTTTACTTTTTAACTCTATTATTGCTGAATAAGCTTGAATTCTTATTTTAAGCTAGTAAATCTAAGTAATATTACCCTATACAGGTATAGTTAGTAGAGAAATCACTTTCTTGTTTTTATTCTGATATGCACCTATGAAAATATCACTTCATCCACTTGTATCTAATATCACTTCGAATTGAAGATGTACAAACATAAATATAACAGTTTTAAAACATTAAAAGATAATTTTTTATTGATTTAAAAAAATTTGGAATTTTTATAAGATACATTGATTTTTTTTTCTTCTCATAGACGGTTGTACATCTTACAAAACCACTTCTCTACAAATGCATAACAATTCCCACCAACATATGCAAGCTGCAGAAGCATAAAATTGCCGAAAAGACATGAAAGCAGCTACGACAAGAGCTGAGGGAAAAAATGAGTCCTTTATAATAAGTTATTTATAGTCAGCTATATTGTTAGCTGTTAATGAATAACCAAACATCCTCTTCAGTAATTTAGAGCAATTTGTAAAAGTTCAAAAGTGTGAAAACTATGCTGGAAGACCTAGCGTGAAATGTGAACATGGAAATATCTTCAACGAACTTCACTATTCTATAGCAGAAGTAATTGAACAGCGTATGCTAGCAGCTGTAGAGGATGGGAAAGTGTTGCACAAAGCTACAAATTTACTTAATGATTCCGAATAGTTCAGCATCTGTTGAAAGGTCTTTTAGCACCCAAAACCGAATTAAGACAAAATATTGTAACAGATTGACTGATAAGCATTTGAGCAACCTAATGAGAATAGCTGAAGTACATAGATATAGAACATTTTTCATATGAAGATGCAGGAAAAATATTCAATGCTTTAAAAAATAGAAGATGTTAAAAACGTAATGTAATTAAATGAAAAAAATTTGAGTATATTTGTGTTTTTTTAATTTGTAGAAATCTCCCTTAACTTTTTGAAATCTCACCCTGTTTTTGAGAAAGGGTGAAAAATTCTATCCCATTTTTTTTCTATAAAGAAAACACTGGATTAAGACAACAAAAAACTGATAAAACAATATAAAACTGATAAAACAATATAAAATTGATAAAACAATATTAACTTTTTACTATTAAATAATCTTTACCTGCAGAATTTGTACACAATTTAGTACTGAACTGTTCAAACTTATCTGAAGATTTAAATAAGGCCATGACATCATCTTCATAATCCTCAACAAAGCTTTCACACTAAATTCAGAGTTAAAATAGCATATAAATATTACTGGTAAATGGATTTGAGAACATTTAGTCAAATTATACTATCTATAGCTTAGTTTACCAATGCAAAAAAAACTAAAAGTGCAAAATGAAACATTAAATTTAAACTTATTAATTTCAAAATTTAATAAGTAAAAATTGCTATTAAGATGCTTTAGGTTCTGTTTCAATCTTCTTAAATTTTACCTTATTAATAAAATTTCACTTGTTCAAATACAGCACAAAGAAATAAACTCAAGACATACTAAAATTATTATTTTACTTAACCCTATATAATTAATCATAATTCACTATCAGTGTTACTTTACAGCTGATCATTCAACTCTGCCTGTAAATTAATAACATGCTAAATTCCATATTTCTTTTATGTCAAACAAATGGTATAGCTTAAGGAATACACTATTAAATTTTTATTAAAATAAAAAATAAGGGATATTTTTTAAAGTTTGCAATATTTGAAGACTTTAAGCGTTATAGCAACACTCAAACTTTGCAAAACTAACTATAGTCACAAATCTAACAAATATATGCATTAAATTTCACTTATACCTTAATATATTTCTCAATACTAAAGAAATGCAACAACAAATGCAATACAGGATGTTTACCTGAACCTGAATTCATCATCATGTTTGACAGGCAGAAGAGAGTGGGTTATAATAGGTAGAGAAAAAAGAATAACATTCTCTTTCATCTCTTATCTAAAAAAGAATTTCAGGCAAACTTCTTTTAAAAAAAGGAGAATGGAATGATTCACAGAATTGTTCTCATTAACCTCTACTTAATATTATACATATTCTCTTTTGTCAGTCAAACGTGATGAATCACCAGATTTTAAACTAATTTCTTTTAAGAAAGAGTGACTGGAATGGACAATTAACAGTGAATTTTTTACAAAAAATCTTAATGCATTTAAAATCCCTTAAAACTCCCAGAGAACATTTTATTACTTTCCTATGAGTGCTATTTATGAAGTTATTTTTAAGCTAAAAACACTTAATTTCGCTTTCTTCTGAAATGAGGAGTCACCGTGTTATTCATGAACAGACATTTATTCATGTGTCCATCTGTCATTCATTTACTATTGCTGTGGGGTGAAAGCCAATATGTCCTTGCTTTCGTTTGAATATTCGTAATTAAATCAAACTTTTTTTAAATGGTCAATAACTATCTGTATAATAAATTGTGCCCTAATGTAGATTAATAAAAATGTGGGTTTAATATAACTTATTTCTATAACATTAAATTTCAATGGTGCCCACTGTAACATTGTTAATAGTTGAAATTTTTTAGTTCTGAATATTTAAGATTTTTTAGTTCAGTAAAAAAGGTGTTAGAATGAGTTATGTATACCTGGTATTATTAAAATTATGAGTTATAAACAAAAAAATATTTCTTCATTCATATTAATTGTAATTTTAAAGTATATATCAAATTAATTTTGAAGATTTATTTTCATGTTAAGTGAAAGAATTGTTGAATAAATTTTTTATATAGAATAGTTTTAGATTTTAAAATGTAGGAAAGCTTACGTTATTGATATTTTTTATTTATTCTGGTGTAAATTCAAAGCAGGAAATTGTCTTAAGCATAGCAGTAGCCTTTCAAAAAACTTGTGATCGCAGCAAAACTTTAAAAAAAAATATTTTTTTTATTTGAAAGAATGAATTGAAAGTTATACGAAAAAAATGTATATATGTATATNTATTTATGTATGCATATATATATATATATATATTCCAGCAAAATTTTATTAACTTTATTTTAATTATGTTAATTTAAGTCACAAGAGTACTGTATATGCTGTATTATGATTAAAATGCCTATAAAAAGAAAAGTTAATTAAAAAGAAAAAAAAGAGAAACAAAAAATAAATTGTTCATTGTTCTTAAAACAAAACTTAAATGATGAAAATCACAATTTTCTATGTTACCGGTTATCTATATTACAGTATAGGGAAAAAGTGAGATTAAATTTATAGTATAAGACGTTCCATTAAAATGCTGCATTACAATAAAAACAGCAAAAATGAAGAAAAAAATCCTTAGAATTCATAGAACTAAAAGCGACGAAAAAATGACTATTGACTTGTCTGAATATAATATTTTTTTTTTTAAAAAAAAGAGAAGTACAAAAACAATTGTAATCTAGTTTCAATTCTTCAGATTTCGTTTTTCGCCTTCTAGATAAATTTGCTAGCCATGAGCAACATGGATTTTAAAGCTTAACAAAATTGTGTAAAAACTATATCTTATAATAAACAATATAATATAGTTAAAAATGCAGTTTTATATTATTCTTTATAATATCTATACAAATTCAAAAAAAAAACTTTTCAAAAAAATATGCTGCTGAATATTTGGCCGATCATTCAACCAACTGAATTTCTGACAAAAGGGCCAAATACTCGTTACATCCCTAATTTTAATGGAATGTTATTGCAACCTGAAAAATTCACTAAGTGGTGGGAAACTTGAATTTTTAAACTGCTCACTGTTTGCAATTTCGATTTCAATTTTTTGTTGCTGATGTGATATTTTTTCGGTAAAAAAAAAAACTTTTACTATATAAAAAAATCTAACAATCAACAAAAAGAAATAATAAAGTACATTACCAAATAAATATTGAATTTTATTTTGAACTATAGCTGTTTTGTTTTCATTTCAGGCTTTTGTTTAAACCTTATAAATTTTCTTCATTTAAAATATTTAATTTGAATTTATATCAATTTTATTATACAAATATATATCATATTTATATCAATTTTATATGTATTAAAATTTTCCTAATTTCATTATGTGAGCATTGCAATTTTTTTTTTAATGAGAATTTATTTTCAAATGAACTTTTGTGTTGTGCGATATGATTAAAAAAAAAGATTTTATTTTCCAATGTTTATTAATTTTGATAAGATGAAAATTCAACTTTTTTCTTAAAAAAAGCATTAGTTTTATTATTTTTGAATGAATTCTAACAATTAAATAGTTATATATTTGTTGAAAATTAAAAGTAAGTTTAAATAAATATTACTATATTTTCCAATACATGTGCGGCTTTTTGGTAGTCAACCTGATGTGCAAGTGGCTTTCACTCAAAAAGGTTGTGCACCCCTACTCTAAAGAATCAAAATTTTGAATGGAGACATTGGACATTTTAGTGAAAATTGTTTTCCAGACATTTTCTACATTGATGTACTTTCATCATAGAACTTTTTTTTAAAAAATACTTCTAGTTCAAGTTTTTTTTTTTTTTTTTTTTTCTCACCAGNTCAAGTTTTTTTTTTTTTTTTTTTGACTCACCACTTATTTTTAGATCTAGTAAGACAGATAATGTCAGCATCTGTGAGGAATGAGTAGATTAAATCTAAAAATTTAATTTTGTGAACAGGATACACCAGCTCACAGAAAAATTCTTACCATGCTGAAATGTGCATAATATATTTTCTAATATTTTAAAACTAAATTATATTTAATCCTTTTTCAGTAAATAAAATTTACCACAACTTGAATGAAGTGCAGAATAAGACCTAATTTTAGAGATTCCCTCTACAGCTGCCTAACAGCTGCATAGAATTCGAAAACAGTTTTATGGTTGCTAAATGTTTTGATTTTATTAAAATTTGTTATTATTTCTCAAACCTTCTTTTCTGCCAACACATTGAATGCATAGAGCTAAGAAAAAGAGCCTTGGCAATGAAATAAATCAATTAATAGCCAATATGCGGATTCCTTAACTTTTTTTGGTGAAAACTTTTTTAATGTATAGATAACATTTACATTTTTTATTTGTAGGGATTAATTTTTTGAACACCAGTGTTTGTAATTCATTGACTAATTAACAGGGTTTGTACAAAACAGTTTTTTTTTTTTTTGCGATTGAATTTAGATACAATGAATGAGTCTAAAGGAATTTGTTTTCACTGTGCAATATTGTTTAGGTGAATACTAATAATCTTCTCAAATAAGAATTCATAAATCAATAAGAATTTGTAATGCCGTTAAATAATATAACCATTATACATTCAATAAATACAGATTATATGAATATATATTAACTCAATGAATATAGTTAAATGATAAAGCTTTCAAAAATATATTTTATATACCTGAGCAAATTACTGGGTTGTATGCACCTTTACCCCTTTAAAAAATATGTGATTATCCTAAAATGATTAAATATTTCTTTATTTGTTTAAAACAAAAACTGTCTTTACTTTCAATTCCTTTAAACAAGACTTGCTCACCATTGATTTTTCTGTCAATTGTGCAATAAAAATAGTTTTAAAAAATGTAATTTGATAAATAAAACTTCATAAAATTAAATTTTAAAAATACTTAAGGAAAAATACGTATAAGTTTTTAAGAATACATAATGGCATAAACTTTGGTCATCAATAAGTATTTCTAATGCAATAATTGAAAACTTTTAATAGCAGAAAATAGTGCTGAAACATTTGAATTCATTTTCTCACTGTAAAATCAGTGATCAATAAAAATGAGTTTGCTAATTACAGGCATGAAAGTGGACAAAAATAAAAGCTAACTTTTACAATCCAGACACAAGGAAGGGGAGGGAGGGAGTGTTCTATGTAATACTATGATATCAATAAGATACATAAAAACATAACTTACTTCCATTATATTTTTATTTTATATTAAAAGTGGCAAAAGCATTTAGAGAGCGAAATTTAAATTCCTCTTAAAGATAATTCTCAATGTCTTTGACCACTACTATATTAAAGAAAATTCAGCAATATACAGTAGAGAACCAATTATCCGGGCTGCTCGGGATCATCGCTATCACGGATGTCTGAATTTCTCGGTTTTCTGGATCGGCAAAAAATGTAGATTATCGACGTTCTATCATACCCAAATTACAAGGAAAACAAAGTCAAACATTTTTTTAAAAAAAAGAAAAATAACCTTTAAAAAAATAAAATAATTTATTAGTTTCGACAAGAAAAGTAATAT